CGCTCTGCTTGTGATATCAGCGAAATACGGCAAAATCTCAAGCGGATGGGTGCACCCAATCTGCCAACCATACCGTCAAAATTATCACGGCATGCCAACAGTACAATGACTGCGAATGCGGCAACGGGCTCAGAGTCAACTACAGGTATGTGTCGCAATGCCCGTGCAGGATCGGCACCAGCCAGGCGGCTAAATGTAGCACCAGCTCCGGCACCGACAACGCGTCCGTTGCCGCGAACAGCTGTGTCGACGAACAAAGCTAAGCCAGCTACGGGCACAGCTGGTGGTGGTGCAGCAGTTGCTGCACCCAAGCGCATTGCCCCTTATGATTTCAAGGCACGCTTTCACGATCTACTGGAGAAGCACAAAGTGCTTAAATCCAAATATGAGAAGCAAGTAGATAACATGGGGGAACTCGAGTCGCTGCCCACGCAGCTGGAGGAATCTCAAACTAAACTTATTCAAACGGAGTCAATGCTAAAACATACTCAAACAGAAAACGAGTGCCTGCAGCGGCAATTAAAACAACAAGTAGAAAGGATTGAGACAATTACTAGCACGTTGGGTCGCACAAAGGATGAACTAGATCAGTTGAAGGTTGCGCATCAGGTAAGCCGCTAACGCATTGTATAGCCTCATAATTTTATTTCTAATTTGCATTGCAGAGTATCAAAACCGATCATGACAACCTGTCCACAGAGGTGTTGGATCTGCGCCTTCGAAATGAGGAACTTATGCGCAGCAATGAGCAGTTGGCTGCTGATTTGAGCACATGCAGGGAGCAGCTGTTCCAGTCGAACATAGAACGAAAAGAACTGCATAACACAATTATGGATTTACGTGGCAATATACGAGTGTTTTGCCGTGTGCGTCCGCCACTTGATTATGAATTGGGACGTTTGTCCTGCAGTTGGACGTACCACGATGAGGCAACAGTGGAGCTACAGAGCATAGATAGCCAAGCGAAGAACAAGATGGGCCAACAGATATTCACGTTTGATCAGGTGTTTCATCCAAACTCAACGCAAAACAACATTTTTGAAATGGTTGCACCATTAATTCAATCTGCCCTGGATGGCTATAATATATGCATCTTTGCCTACGGCCAAACGGGTAGTGGAAAAACATATACAATGGACGGCGTACCCGACAATGTGGGCGTTATACCACGCACTGTTGATCTGCTGTTTGACTCTATAAAAAACTATCGCAATTTGGGCTGGGAATATGTTATTAAGGCGACGTTTTTGGAAATATATAATGAGGTGCTTTACGATCTGTTGAGCGATGAACAAAAAGAAATGGAGATTCGTATGGCCAAAAATTCCAACAAGAATGACATTTATGTGTCTAATATAACTGTGGAAACAGTCACGGACCCCAATCATTTAAGACAACTCATGCAAACTGCCAAAATGAATCGCTCCACGGCTTCTACGGTAGGCAATGAGCGTTCGTCACGATCACATGCGGTTACCAAGCTAGAATTGATCGGCCAACATGCGGAGAAGCAGGAGATTTCTGTGGGATCGATTAATTTGGTCGATTTGGCCGGCTCAGAATCGCCAAAGACCAGCGTAAGAATGACGGAAACCAAAAATATAAATCGCTCGCTCTCTGAACTAACAAATGTTATTTTGGCGTTACTCCAAAAACAAGATCATATACCCTATCGCAACTCAAAACTAACACATTTGTTGATGCCGGCGCTGGGCGGAAATTCGAAGACCCTGATGTTTATTAATGTATCACCGTTTCAGGACTGTTTCCAGGAGTCAGTCAAATCGCTGCGCTTTGCTGCCTCCGTTAATTCTTGCAAAGTAGCCAAGGCAAAACGCAATCGTTACTTGAACAATTCCACGACTAACAACAGCAGTTGCGAAAAGTAAATACTGGCATTTCATATACGAGATTACAATTATCTGGATCGACAGTTTTTTGTAAATCTTTTTTTATCAATTTACATGCACAATCTTAATTTTACTACTGTCTGTTATCACTTAATTTATAAATGTGTATGTTTAGTGCAAAAATAAACTAATAAAAACAACGATTACAGTGTGATTTTATAATTGTGGATTGTTTGTCTACATGGCTCCCACGGCCTGCCGCACTTCTAAAGGAATCTTCTCCACTAGCTCTTTGTGATTATTCCCGACGCTGGCGAGCACACCCCTGCCATTCACGTGCTCCACTTCTGCATGATATTCATAATGTTCGCCATTGATATTAGTCAGGTTGCCGCCATTTGCCTCCAACACCGCCTCCGGTGCGCAAGTGTCCCATTTTTTGCATCCTGGCGTGGCAAATACATAAGCATGCGCCTTTCCCTCAAGCAGTTGTAGCACCTTGAAGCCAGCGCCGCCCACCTTAATCACTTTGGTGGCATTGAAGACATCCACTGCCTTTTGATGCAGCGCATTGGAATGTGAACGGGTCGTTGTAATGATGAATTCACCCGCTGGCGGTTTTACTGGAGTGAATCCTCCAGTACCAAGCCCTTTAAGACCCCAAATTGTGCGGCCTAGCTCTCCGCTGGATTGCTTGTAAAAGGGCTGATGAATAATGCCACCCACAGCCGAGTTTTTAATAGCTATGCCAATCAGCACTGTAACATGTTCCACATAGCCTAAGGTGGGGCGACCAGAATGGAAAACAATATAAGTAAGATATTTACATAACAATTTTCGGCTTACCTTGTGTATATTCCGCAGTGCCATCTAAGGGATCGACCCATATGACAAAGTCCTCCGGCTGGGCATCTTGCCATGCCGCCGGGCAGTTTTGCTTCAGGAATGCTTCGTCCTGTTCACCTACCAGCCAATCATCGCATACATTCAAGTCAGAGCCGCCCTCTTCGCCAATAATTTTAATGCTGGGAAATTTCTTCGATAGCGATGCTATGATGCACCGTTGAGCAGAACGGTCTGCTTCAGTTTGTGGATCATTTTTTCCCTTGTCGACAATGCCCAAATCGCCCTGCTTCAGAACATCGCGTATGATGATGCCGGCGCGTTTTGCAGTGTTGATGGACAGCGCCATTATTCGCATAATAAGTGGAGCATTTGTGGCCATGATTAAGTCTCGACTAGTTTTAAATGTGGAATGGATTCTACTTCGAAGTATAGGTAATTTCACTGCTTTCGTAAAAAATTTGGCAAATCAGCTGTGGCAACAGCGGACAAGCAGGGTACGGAACTCATAACCTTTGCAAGCAAAATCTGCGAGCAAAAATAGGTTTTTACAACTAATATATAATAAACATATTAAAACAAATAATAAATTAATATAAAAATTAACTTAATATAATATTTTGGACATAATTTCTAACATATGTATGTATATTGGCTACGCAGTGCAGCTTCTACCTTTATTTTATATATTCATTCTTACATATATTTATTTTTACACAATTGTTTATTCTAACATAGCTATTAAAACGTCTGTATAGAGGTCAGCATACTATTTACTGTTACTTGAACGATCAGCATACTTCTCAATAGTCTGGCCACATAATTCGGAGTCTGGCAACGCTGCGGCACATACAACCTTTGGACCCCCACCACCCCCTTCATAATCAACAATATCTGCTGCTGCTCAAGAGGTGAATTAGCATAGCACACGATTAATAATTAATAAAAAATTTTCAATATTGGTTAATTTTGATTTGTCGTTAATTAGAAAATGGCTCGTGTTTTGGTTGGTGTAAAGCGTGTGATCGACTATGCCGTTAAGGTAAGCGTACGGAAGAATAGTTTGTTTCTTCCTCTTATCACTTGTTGCGCTTCGTTTTGCGTAATCATTTTTATTACACTTAATTAATGTCTTTTGATTGGAATTTAGGTGCGCGTGAAGCCCGAAAAAAATGGCGTTGTTACCCAAGGTGTTAAGCACTCAATGAATCCCTTCGACGAGATTGCCGTCGAGGAGGCCGTCAAGCTAAAGGAGAAGAAGCTGGCTGGTGAGATCATTGCCGTGTCTGTAGGTCCAGCCCAATCGCAAGAGGTCATACGCACCGCCTTAGCTATGGGCGCAGATCGCGGGGTTCACGTTGAGGTGTCAGCAGCCGAATACGAACTGTTGCAGCCAGTGCATGTGTCCAAAATACTTGCCAAGCTGGCACTGGACGAGAAGGCGGATCTGGTCATACTGGGCAAACAGGCTATTGATGATGATGCCAACCAGACGGCGCAGATGACTGCCGCGGTGCTGGACTGGCCTCAGGGCACGTTCTGCAACAAAGTTGAGAAGACGGATGCGGGTCTGACGATTGTCCGTGAAATCGACGGCGGCCTGGAGACCATCAAAACCAAAATACCAGCAGTCCTCAGTGCTGATTTACGCCTAAATACGCCGCGTTATGCCACGTTACCTAACATCATGAAAGCCAAGAAGAAGCCACTGAAGAAGGTGACACCCAAAGATTTGGGTGTTGATACGTCGCCACGCATTGAGGTTATCTCCGTTGAGGATCCGCCAGTGCGTCAAGCGGGCGCTACTGTTGCCGACGTAGATGCTCTGGTGGCCAAGCTAAAGGCTGGTGGCCACATCTAAGTCAACACCCAATCAAAATTGTGAGCAAAATTCTACGTTCTATTTCTTAATACTTTCTATCAGAAACGTGCATTTATCTAGCCACTAAAGATTGATTCCCCATGTGCGCGCCGAGTGTCCCATAGTGCTTTAAGTGAAATTAAATGTCTGTTTTTGGAATCTGTCGTGTCAAGCCTTAACGAATAAATTGAAGTGAAGCAACTACGAAACATGCCACGAGGTCAGCCACTGACCGAATTTGTCACACATCCGTCTATTCCTTTTCAGCGGACGTGGCTCAACTTGACGCACCAAATCAGCTCATATTTAATTCGCTTCGTTCTTTTCTTGCGGTTGCGCACGTTCTTATACGGTATGAACGAGTCAGAGGCGAAGGTCAAATGATTTGTTTTTAGCTCTATATATTTTATTTCCAAATCAAACTAATTTTTTTTTGCTAAAACTATATTGAGTAAATATATAAATATGTACGTATATAATATGTATAAAAAGCTAAAATTCATTATTTTTGCTTATAAAAGTTATAGAAAGCTGATATAAAATTGTAAAATATGGCAGGAGCTAGCAATTGCATTAAAAATTACTCTAATAGTACTATCTGTAGATCATTTCAATGTTTAAAGTTTTGATAATTAATTTATTTGTGGATTCGTTTGCTTTTTTCTTATAGCTTGAGGGTTATCCTGCCCACAGCTGTACGAATACCATCAGAGGTGTTAGTCAGCTCTAGCAACTAGTTAGAATGAATCGTTAATTAATTACTTTCTTATCACTGAATAGCAATATGCGTGTCAGCATTGTGGTAATACATGGTATTTGCTTCTGCTGATGCATATCTGGTGTGTTCGGTGTGCAGGACTCGAAATCAACAGCGACACGCTGGCAAACGAACGTCAGCAGGGTGAGAATGTGCTCACGTTTGCCGTTGGCGGCCAGCTCAGCGCACAGACTCTGCATGAACCAGCTGCCCTTCGAGGGGTTGCGCCACGAGTAAAAGCCCGGTATGGTGGAGTAGGCAATCAAAAAGTCCGCATGGATGGGTATCCTGTAGCCCCCTGAGGAGTCGCCGTCGGTTTCGGTGCGGCCGCGTTGCATTGTGACACCCGCGTCCAAGCGGTCGCCCTGGCAGGCCTGTATAAAGAACAGCTTGGGTTTGCCAGCCAGCGTGGGGCAGTGATTGGCCGTGAAGTGGCTCCAGATATTGTCTAGCTTGTACTGAGTATCCTTCGCATAGATGTAGCCCATTTCGCCGTGTGAGAGTATGGCCACCAGTATGCAATCGTTGTGCTCATGATTCTGCGATGATACATCCTTAATTGTACTCAAAATCTCCGAGTATCGACAGTCCTTGTACACAGAGACATCAAAGCCCAGCTGTTTGAGCACGCGTGACAGATTCGCACAGTCCGCATTCGTACCAGCACGGGAGTTCAATGTGGGCACCTCGAAATGTTCATGATTGAAGATGATCGCCATGCCGCGATTTTTGTGTTGCATGTTGTACTCGGTAGCATCTCGATCGGTGACCAGGTTGGCCACATTTTTGTGATAGCTGGACGAGCTCTTTTCATTTGAGTCCAGCAGCCCACTACCGCCGCTGTCACAAATGTTTGGTTTGTGTACTCCGGCGTTCTTGCCAAGTAATACTTTACAGTCGGACTCGATTTTGTTGCTGCTATTTTTGTTGGTGGCCATTGTTGTTGTAAATAGCAAACACTTATTATTAAAAGTCCCTTAGGTTAAAAAGTTATTAAATTGCACGTTGCGGGCACTTGTTGTAACCAAGGAATGCGACGCGAAACTGTCGCAGTTTTCTAAGTTGTTCCTATTTTTGTTTGTTTTATGTTATGCATTTTTTATATTCGAGTCAGAGGCAATGGTCAAGTGATTTGTTTTTAGCTCTATATATTTTATTTCCAAATCGAACTAATTTTTTTCTGCTTAAATTATAATGAGTAAATACATAAATATGTACGTATATAATGTGTATAAAAAGGTAAAATTCATTATTTTTGCTTGTAAAAAATATAGAAAGCTGGTATAAAATTGTAAAATATGTATACATATATAGAATTATTATGGACAACGGAGCCTTAATAGACATAGATAAAGACATGGCAGGAGCTGGCAATTTCATAGGAAATTACTCTAATAGTACTATCTTTAGATAATTTCGATTTTAAGAGTTTGGATAATTAAGTTATTTGTGATTCGTTTGCTTTTTTTTATAGCTTGAGGGTCTCATATAGAACATTTTATATCACACTGCCCACAGCTGCACGAATACCATCAGAGGTGTTAGTCAGCTCTAGCAACTAGTTAGAATGAATCGTTAATTAATTACGTCCAGCCGGAGCTTTTTCCTTATCGCTGAATAGCAATATGCGTGTCAGCATTGTGGTAATACAGGGTATTTGCTTTTGTTGATGCATATCTGGTGTGTCCGGTGTGCAGGACTCGAAATCAACAGCGACACGCTGGCAAACGAACGTCAGCAGGGTGAGAATGTCCAGACGTTTGCCGTTGGCGGCCAGCTCAGCGCACAGACTCTGCATGAACCAGCTGCCGCGCGTGGTGTTGCGCCACGAGTAAAAGCCCGGTATGGTGGAGTAGGCAATCAAAAAGTCCGCATGGATGGGTATCTTGTAGCTCATTGAGGAGTCGCCGTCGGTTTCGGTGCGGCCGCGTTGCATTGTGACACCCGTGTCCAAGCGGTCGCCCTGGCAGGCCTGTATAAAGAACAGCTTGGGTTTGCCAGCCAGCGTGGGGCAGTGATTGGCCGTGAAGTGGCTCCAGATATTGTCCAGCTTGTACTGAGTATCCTTCGCATAGATGTAGCCCATTTCGCCGTGCGAGAGTATGGCCACCAGTATGCAATCGTTGTGCTCGTGATTCTGCGATGACACATACTTAATTGTACTCAAAATCTCCGGGTATCGACAATCCTTGTACACAGAGACATCAAAGTCCAGCTGTTTAAGCACACGTGACAGATTCTCACAGTCCACATTCGTACCAGCACGGGACTTCAACGTGGGCACCTCGAAATGTTCATGATTGAAGATGATCGCCATGCCGCGATTTTTGTGCCGCATGTTGTACTCGGCAGCATGTCGATCGGTCACCATTTTGGCCACATTTTTGTGATAGCTGGACGAGCTGTACCCATTTGAGGCCAGCTGCCCAATAGCGCCGCTGCCATAACTGTTTTGTTTGTAAATTGCCGAGGTCGATGCGCCGCCGCTGCTGCTGCTGTTGCCCACAGAGCCAAAGGCATCGGTTATATCGTCGGTGTTGGTGGCGACCTCGACTCGTATGCCTACCTGGTCGGTGGACTCGACTTCGTTGTTGCTATTATTGTTGGCGGCCATTGTGAATATTGGCAGTGAAATTTTGATGAGTCACACGGCTGGTTTTATGTCCAGGTAAACAGTAAATAGCTAACACTTTTCACTAATAGTCCCTTAGGTCAAGAAGTTATTAAATTGCACGTTGCGGGCACTTGTTGTTGTAACAAAGGAATGCGACGCGAAACTGCAGCGCACTTGAGTTGCAGTTTTCTAGTTTGTTGCTCTCTTTGTTTGTTTTATGTTATGCATTTTGCGGACAACAGTTTAACATTTCGCTGGACTGTTAATAACAGCGTGCAGTATTTTTTTTTATCAGAAGCAACCGTTACTAGTTTTGAAAAAATAAAATTAAAATTGTAACTTGCATTTGCAATAGGATGCAAAATGGTAGCTTAATAGTATATTGGTAAAAGTCAATCTAACCGATTATTAGTATTCCTGCAAGCCTATATTCAGTATACATTTTCATTTAACAGCACTAACTGTTAAGCTGACATCGCTTTAACAGAGTGCAGCTGCCGTTTTATTAAGGCTTATTGTACAGATGAGCAAGCAAAAGAAACCCGCTCACTGTAAACTGACATAAACACATAAGTGTGGTGAAAAACAGTTGCAGCTACTCGGGGTGAAATTTGCATACTATCTGAGCTAGCTAATCAATGTCAATGATCTTCATCCAATATTTGCAATCATTTTCAACTGTAATAAAAAGGATGAATTTGGAAATCCCGATAATATATTTTTCAAAATGATTTTTATCAAATATGTAAACAATTTACACCTTATGCTAAATAAGAACACCATCTAATCGTAATCAAATGTCAAGCCGCTTCCCCGCAAATGTTGCTCGGCCCATGAATCAAATCGCTCTGACATTTCATCGGTCATGAGATTTCGCCAGTCACCAACTTTGCCTTTGCGTATGAATTTCGTCGCCCGCTGAGGAAGTTCACGCTCTAGATTGATGGCTTTATTGTTTTGCATGCTGTCGAACTTCAAATGGTCGCAAATGCGTGCCATGTTGGTTTCGTTTAGGATATTTGAGACGTTCAGGAATTGGGCACAGCGTCTTACCACCGCGGGCAAATCGCGAATCATGTCCTCGTATTTAATAAATAGGACATTATCATCAACGCTGCGCTTCCAGAAGGGCAGCACATGCTTCCAATACGAGCCCATGGGTGTGTGGCCGCCCAGAAAGAGCTCTACGAATTGCTCAAAATCGCCATTGATTCCATGGAGCAGCTTGCAATAGTGATAGTAGGAGACACAAAGATCTTTGGGATTGCGGGCGGTGTACACAATTTTTGGCTTGACCGCCTCAAATTGCTCTGGCAGCAGCTGCCAGGAGAGATGCGAACGTGCATACCGTGGACGTGGCAGATTGCGCACCAGCTCAACTGTGTTGCCAAAAGCATCTCTGTGAAATGTGCAAGCTACGGAGTTACCTTGCGCAAAAGGAATACTAAAGTCTATACGTACGCCACCCACTGATGATGGTCCGTGCTGAATAGTGCGGATAGCTCAATCAAGGGTGCACGCATTCGCACATCCTGCTTGGCAGCCTCAAAGTCCAGCTGATGGCCCAGCAGCCAGACCATCTCTTGCGCCCATGTCGAACCGGTACGGGGATACGACACCATCCACACATCATCTGCATAGACGGGCAAATTGCGTATGGATTCACCGAGCTCTATATATTTGCGTGGTATGATCAGTTGATCGGGCAGCACCTCCACAAAGCAATCCTGCGCCGGAAATACGGCATTTGTGCGACGCACAATATCCGCATCCAGTTCGCGATAAACTAGCTGCATGGCATATGGCGTTGCTGCTACCGTTGGCCTGCAATAGCTGCAGTCGACTGGCTCCAGCTCCAAGTGGAAAGTGAGCCCAAGAGTGCGGTGAAAGTGACGCCAACGTGAATCCAATTTGTTTTTCCGCAATTTTAACTTGTTTGCGCCAAACCGGCTCAGTGCAATCGCATTTATAAAGTGCATCAGCTAAGCTTGTGAGCCAAGTGCCTGGCACATTGCCCACCCCAAACCCATCCGCTACTTAATCAGCTAACTTTATTTATTTATATTTATATTAAATCGTCATCACTTATACTCACACTTACCACAAAGTCTCGAATAGTTGGCAGCAATTATTCTAATGTGAGACTCATATTTAATACCATTAAATAAACAAATTGTTTAAAATGACTGTGAAATAGCTCAAAGAGGTTGACTCTGGTTTATTTAAAATTAAGTCTGAAAAGCTTTGCAATGAACTTCATAATTTTACGAGGAAAAACCCATAAACTCAGTTTTGTATTTGCGAATGTTTAAAATTGAATGTTTGAATAGTTTTCTACTGTAGTTCCAATTTGGTTCGCAATTTTAAAATGTTTTCAAGATATAAACAAAAAACAAATAGACTTAAAGAGTAGTCCGTTCGTAGACGCTTCACTGTACATATAATATAATTTCGTCTCCTGAAAAACAGTCTGTGTACAAATTATAGTTTTCGTATAAACAATAATGTCCGGAAAAGAAAACTAAAATTTTTGATGAGCTAAAGACAATAAATATTATATGTTCATGCAGCTAGTTGGGATCGGGAAACCTGACCAAAGCCGCAAAAATATTGATGTATTAAAATATAAACGAATAATTGAAACTTTTTTATAAAAATAAAAAAGAAAACTTTAAAAACTTAAGCAAAGCAAATTTTACAATAAAGGGTTCATAATAAATACATCTTCTAAGATTGATAGGCAATAACCAAATGATATTGGATATTGGATTGAATTAATGAAGTACATCTCTAAACAGAGTTTAGATTATTTCTATAACGTTTTTAGAGAACTGTAAATGAATGTACATTTAAATTATATCCCTTAAATCACTTAATTTAAAAATATACCAATTAAATTAAAATTTATTGCAGTTCGTAATACTATGTACACTTGAAATCATTTTATCAATTACAACTAAATCATTCTAATGAGCACTCGTTAACAGTCTCGTTGTTAGTTGGAGCAACTACAACTCGTTGTGTACATATTCTGTGGTCACCTTGGCCTCGCCCTCATGGAAGCCAATGCAGTCCACGGGATATTTCACCTGTTCAAAAGATTGGTTTTGTATTTTCGATAAAGCAACAGTATCAATTAGAACGAGTGAGAAATGCGGCTATGACGGATGTAGACTCACCTCACAATTATATGGCGCATTGATTACCCCAAATAGCGTCCAGAATGGTGTACCGGTTTCTGTGCTAATGAAGATCGCGGCACCCATGCTGCCGATCTTGACAATTTTCGGACTAACACCGGCAATGAGACCGCCAGGCGATGAGGCAGTCGCCTGTTTCTTGGACTGCTGCTGCTGCTGCTGCTGTTGCTGTTGCTCCAAAGCAGCTGCATTTAGCTGGCAGAGCACATAGCGATCGCATTGCGGCGACTTCGAGATGTATCTGTAGGCGCGATGGACTTTAAGCACCGGTTCGATAACCTGTTAGATGTTTGTTGTTTGTGGGTTGGCCATGTGGAGTGTGGGTTGGGGATGCGTGCGCCATGGAACAAAAGAGAAAATTGTAGCGTAATTAATTTAATTTGTGCTATCTGTTGGTTTAGTTTTGTTTTTTTTTTTGTCTTCGTTTTAGAGAATTTCTCACTGCTTCACTTTAATTGCCTGGCGATTCAATTGGCCGCAACACGCTTACCTCCAGATTCAGGGTATCCGTTAATCTATCACTGATCTCGGTGGCATTGAACTGCAGCAGACCACGTGCTTGGCCCAGTTTCAGCAGCTCCTTGGCATAGCCCACAGCAGGTTTCACGTACTGGCGCGAATCGATTTTCACATTCAAATGATGTTTGGCAACGTGGTTCAATAGGTTAGAAATTGTCTCGCTGGGACGTGCCGGATCGAAATAGGTTTGCTTGGGATAACCTTGAGATTTTAACAGACCGTTAAACATGATCTGCGCCGTCTGGAAATATCTGTGGAAAGTGGCAAAGAAAAACAAAATTGATGAGAGTTGCCTATAATGACGCAGCATTGTTAGAGTGAAAGGGCTGCTAGAAAGTGGAAGTTATTTTCGTTGTCGTTGTCTAATAATGATTGGCGGCGCAGCTTATGCCAAAAGTGTCTCCACATACATATGTACATACCTATATATGTGTTTATACAGCGCGACCCAAATATTCATGACACTCGGCATGTACTTTGCCTTTGGCCCACTTCCTGATCAAACCGGTTTCCCCTACAGACACACATACCAAATTAACCGTTCTGGCTTTGGTTTTGTTTGTGTATGTTAATGTTGATGCGCCATCGTCTTTGTAACTGTAACACACACATACGCAAACACGCAAGCTCACACCCAAAGCTAAGCCAAATCCAAAACCCGAACTCAAACCCAGGAATTGGAGTTGGACTTGTACTGTTCTTTTTTGTTTTTTTTTTTTCAATTTTATGTTGACCAGTAAGATTAACAGCCATGTTCTAAAAGCCGCCAGCATTAAAAGTATGTCAAAAGGTAAGCAAGAGAGCTTCAAACATGTTCGATGCCAAACAGGTAGCAGTTAACGGTAACTCGTCAGGCAGCAACAACAGCAGCAGCAGCAACAACAACAACAAGAACAACGCTAACTGGCAGCTGTTTGAGCCAGTTGCGCTGCCTCGATGTACACGCATTCGTATTGCATTTAAACGTAACTCTCAGAATTCGAATCGTATCACAGTAGGGTGCTAAACGGCCTAAAACCGTTGAGAAAGCAGAACGTGTTCCACAATTAACACGCATCAATCACCCTCACGAGCTATGCTATAAAGTATATGCATCCACTTACCTGAGATAGTTTTCAGGATTGGCCAAGTAACTGGCCCAGTCAGCCAAATACAATGTGGCCGATTTGATCCAGCGACGACGGAAAGATTGATTGTTCAGAGACTCGAACAATTTGTCATAATCCAACTTGCCATCGCGACCCTTAAAGCCCTATATAAATAAATGTTTTTATTTAAGTTGATAAAAAGAGTATGAGACCATATTTATGAACATTATTTTAATCCAATTTCTAAGGGATAATGAATAGTCAAATGCTTGATAATTCTCGAGATATACCTTCATGATCTTGTTGACGCCCGACTTTTCGTATAGCGCATCGGCGAGCTCCGAGTTGGAGAAGTGATCCCATAGCACGTGCACATGCTCCAGAAATGGTGGCAGCACCCAGGCATGACTCTTATGGCGTTCCTGTGTGCTCTGGCCCTCGGGACCAGCAAACGAGCTAACTGCCTGCATAACCAGCGGCAACAAGTTCATGAAACCATTTTCCGACTCTGGCTCTTCGGTTGCGGATCTCTTCTGTTGATGATGGGTATGCGTAGCTGGCTTCTCGGCGCCGCCCTGTGTGTTCATAAAAGCGGAGGCCACTTGTAGAATGGTGTCTAGGCCAATGCCAGAGCCGCCATCGGAGCTGCCGCCGCTATTGCTGCGCTTTTGAGCGGCGCCAGAATCCTCGTCATCGGTTTGTGTGAACATTTCCAGGACATTGCCAATGATGGACGGATCAAACCCACCACCGCCACCACCCCCATTGCCGCCACGTGCATTGTTGGCCAGCAGACTGCCGAGACCGGATAAAATTTGCATGGCGCCACCGCCGCCACCGCCACCGCCACCAGCTTTTCCATTGGCTTGCATAAAGCTGCCGATCATGGAGGCGACACCTGCCAGTCCGGCGCCCGCACCGCCTCCGCCAGCAGCACCACCGCCACCGCCTGCGTTCTGATTTGACAATGCCTCCTGTATGAACATGGAGGCCATGTCCAGAAATGGATTGGAGTCATCCTCATTGGCCATATGGCCATAGGGCTGTGCGCTGAGCAGTGCCAGCACAAACAGAGCTCGCTTCATGTACATTTTTGGGCAGGAACTTTCACAATCACACACTTGAGATACTTTTTTTTCTTCTTAGCTATTATTTCTTTATTGTTGTTGGGCCAATTAAACAACGGCGACGAAGACGACGACAACAACAACAACGCGACCGACGCTTCACTGCGCAAATGGCTTAAAAATTGCAAGCCAAAGACAAAAATCTGTTGTTATTCCACCAGACTGAGAAATACTTGTGTACATGTACTTATACTATGTATGTACTTTTTTGCCTGTAACGCAGCAAGCACAGCCAGCTCTGGCGAAAACTTTCTTTCTTCTGTGACTCCGAGTCTGTTTGTAACACTTCTTAAGTCGCCCGTCTGGGCCTGGCCAACATGTTGCATCTGGCCTTGCTTGTGGTGTGAAGCCTCTCGCAAACTCAGCTGTGTTCGCTTCTAGCGCTCGCTGAACATCTCTCTTGCACTTGCTCTTTCTCTCGCTCTCTTTCTTATTCTCTCCGTCTGTTGTCATTCTTCACGCCTGCGCCTTGCAGGTTGTCCACGTCAGTTTGCTGCCAGCATACAAATTCATTTGTGTACGTGTGTGTGTGTGTGTGTGTACACATATTTAAATGCTTTTGCGCTGTTCTATGGTGCTGTCGCTGGACTTAACTTTGTTTATATTTTCTACCCACTTTCTTTTTACACACACTCGTTCTGTCGCTTTGAAGTCGTTCTTCTTGCCATGGCGTGGTCAAAGTCAATGCGTCAGCTTTATCTCGTTTATTTGGTTCTTTTTGCAAGCTTTAATCTACCATCCATATATGTATGTACATACAAACATGCATTAATATATACTCTTGCAGAGAGTTATTATGTGACGACAATGTTCGTAACATCAAAATAAAATAACTTTATGGCTGCTATTAAATCTGCTCTTGGCTCTTGAAGTATTTAAACTAACCATTATAAAAAGGTTAAGAAATAGAGTTAATTAAAATTAATTTAATTTTGTGTTGTAGTGTATTAGAATTTAGTTGTGTCCGTAGGAGTTTCTCTTTAAAAATGTCGCAAACTTTAATTTTTACTTTTCAATGCAAATGTATAACACAAACGAATGGATATCATATTATATTTAGACTGTAATTCTCTCTGGCTTCTTGCGATGTGTGTCATGGCCCATTTTCAGTTAAATTCGACAAGAATAGATTATTTTGTGCGCCAATTACATAAATTTATGAAATGTTCATTTCGCGCCGTCGAAAGTCCAATGAACATGTTGGTCCAAACAGTAAAGATGGAGTTAAAAGTTTACTAAAACGACTTGGTGGACGGAGTTTCTTTAGTTTACCGTAGATCCAACCTATGGTACTCTAAGATGAAAAAAAAATTGAATGAATTGAATTGAATTCTTTAATAAAAGTGTGATTATTATTCTACTCACATCGATGCCGTCGCCTGCCAATGAGGAGCATCCGTGTATCTCCCAAACACGATCCTCCAAACGGTTCAATCCCAACAACTCGGATATCATGGAACTGGGCAAAGCACCAACCGCGTCCTGTTTGTTGGCCAAAAGCAGCAGCGGAACCTGTGCCATCCGCTCATCCAGCAGCACATCACAGAGTTCGCAACGTGCTTCACTCAAACGCGACGCATCCGTGCTATCGACAACAAAGATCTAGGGATCAATTGGTTAGCTGAGAAAGTGTGTTCAAATATGTGAGGGCAATACCAAAATATTGGCTTCCTGATAAAATGTATGCCACGACTGACGCATCCTCCATTGACCACTCAAGTCACGCAAGCATACCTTTATCCTTTTAAATTTTAAATGCCGCTCGGTTCGGTCGACCGTAGGAGAAATGCGCTTTAACTTTTGGAATATACATGTATATAAATATATGACTAATGTCTAATAAGGTTTTTGGTCCTCTTACGGCGTCCTCGGTTTCCAAGCCAAGGCGGGCCGCCAATGTACTTTTGCCTGCATTGTTTAGGCCAAGAATAAGCACATTAAACTCCTCCGAGGGCGTCCCCCTTAGTTTGCCCAGGAACGAAGTGACACCTTTGTAAATATGGGACATTTATTGCTATTGTTTTTGTTGATGTTTTTAAAAAGTGTGAGCTGTACACAAGCTACTACTTAGATTTGGATAGTGGCTAAGAATTTGTGGAGATACATATATAATTTTCGATCTAGTATGCTTATGCTATTTTCAAGTCACAAAAAAATAAATTCAAGAATATTTTCATAACATTATGGTCTCTATAATTATAGAAGGGCACTTCCTTTTACAGTTTTTTAACCAACAATATACATTTATAGAGTAAGTAGTGTAGGTTAATTGCTTTAATCTAAACAGTAGCACAAATTAATGAACTATAAACTACTTTTTCATATTTTTGCACACCCAGTCCATGCCCTCTTTGATGCCAGTGCCGTCTACGGCTGTGCAGGCCTTAATTTCCCAAGTACGCTCCTCCAGACGCACTAGACCCAGAGCCTCGGCCACTTCGGAGGCGCTCATGGCACTGGGCAAGTCCTGCTTGTTGGCAAAGACCAGCAACGGTACTCTCTTTAAACGATTGTCCATGAGCATCTCAAAGAGTTCACTGCCCGCTTCTGAAAGGCGTTTCCGATCCGTGCAGTCTATAACGTAGATCTGTTATGATAGCAGATAATGAATTCCTGAATCTCATTAACACTTCGTAAGAAATTACCAAAACATCTGTATTGGCAAAGTAGTTCTTCCAATATGGCCTTATTTTCCATTGACCGCCAATATCCCATACATTCAATTTGAACCCATCTGCAGCCACGGATTTGATGTTAAAGCCCGCGGTTGGCGTCACCTGCGGAGCATTGGCAACACTATTAGGAAAGCAAAAACGCATCTGTTCCAAGATACTCACCGTTGTTATATCCTCGGAAGCCAGTTGTTTGAGAATCGTTGTCTTGCCGGCATTATCTAAGCCGAGCAGCAAAATACGTGCCTCCTTTTCCGGATTGGGGCGCAGTTTGCGCAACAGCGAAAGTAGACCCTAAAAACAAAAACGAAAATAAATAAATTTGAAAGCGCAATTAATTTTCGCGCAATATGTAAATCGATATTATGGCGAGTGCTATCGAGCTTTCAGCTGGTCACACTTTAAAAACAGCTGTTGCGCGAATATAAAGTATCGATACTATCACGCGAACAAGTTACCATGACAACAGAGTTAAATAAACAAATATAATATTGGATAATAAGAGCAATTTAGAAAGGAAAAAAACTATAATTAAGTGCTAACGCGTGACTGATAATCTGGGTTTTCAGCAAACAACCTACCATTTGGTAAAACAATTACAATAACTTATTTGAAGAACGATCACTTAAAAAGCACTAACTCTAGCAATTGTATTTAAACACAATTCAAACAACCGACACAATTTAAAACCACCACCAGCGACAACATTACAGGTGCAATGTTAGCTAGCAACTAAACATCGGTCGACCAAACAATAGAGCAACAGCCGCAGGTAGCGGCGTCCAGCCCCTACTGTGCGCGTCGCTGCGCAAACGCTGTCGGCGAAGCGGAAGATGCGACAGTTACTATTTACGGGGTTCAATGCATTTGGGCAGCACAATGGAAGCAACACTGACCGCATTTCCGGTCGCGTCACTGCCTTAACCGGTTCGTAGCTGCAACAAATAACATTCTCACGGTTGATACTAAAATCCTTAAATTTTTAGAAATAAGCGTACCCGGGGATGGCGCGGATAACGCTATAATTGCGCTGAGCTGGCGTTATACCGCATATGCTGTGGGCACTAAGCTATGGCTGCGCGGACTCTTCGACTTAGTGCCTGGGGAATGTCTGCAAGTGGAGGCACCTGTATGTATTAAAGCGTTAGCCGCTTGCGATTCGCATTGTCTGGTGCTGCTGCAGAATGGCGAGCTGTACAAGCTGCCAGCCAAGCTGAAGGCAACATTGCAACACATCAAATTGGAAACAACCCCCACAACAAATGCAGCCACAAAGCGAACTATTTTTGGTACGCCAAAGGTAGCTAGGGACGCCTTGAACGACGTCACTCACATAGCCTGTGGCACGCACATTAATGTGGCCATAGGCGCTAACAACGCTGTGTACAGTATACCCAGCTGCTTGCATCAGTTCCCGCAACGTCAGTGGCGGGTGCAACAGTTGGAGTGCGGACACGAGCATGCCCTGTTGCTGAACGGTAATGGCGATGTCTACAGCTGGGGCAATGGACTGTAGGTTTAGTGAGTCATTTATTTGAACAAAATTTTGTGACTTTTTATGCAAATATTTCACAGTCGTGGACAACTAGGCCACGAAACGCTAGCTGTGGTGGAGACGCCGCTGTTGCTGGAGGCGCTGGCGGGCATTAAGGTAAGAAATGACTAACAAATTTCATTATCTAGCTTGACAAGTAATTCATCCGTCTACACACATTGTAGATAACACACATTGCTGCTGGTGGCTGGCATAGCGTAGCCATTTCTGCATTTGGGGATCTCTATACGTGGGGCTTGAATTGCAAAGGTCAACTGGGTATGCGCGTTATGAAATCCGATGGCTTGCTTAAAGAGCCCACGGTTTATCCAGTGCCCCAGCTGCATGATTTGCCAGACTGTTGTGGGGAAGAGAACGATGTCTGTGCGCCCCTTAAGGTATTTGCAGGCTCACGTCACACATTGCTCTTGCGCAGCTGTGGGCGGCTCTGGGCTAGTGGCTGGTGTGCACACGGTCAGCTGGGCAAGCAGCCCACTAAATTGGATTACTTGGACATATTTCAAGCTGAACGGGATGCGCCAAAGGGTAGTAATTATACTGTGTTCTGTGGTCCTTGGTCCAGTTTGATTGCATTGTCCGAGTAAATATGTTTTATATTCTTTATTTTTAAGTTATTTACATTTAATTAACATTTTAGTCTAACTATTTTAAGATTTGTTGTAAACAGCCTCGTTGCCTTTGTATGTTTCAAAATTGTAACGGCTTTACGCTAATAGGTCTTAAGGCTAACTGCTATGATACTTAAATTTGCGCCATGGAACTAACTGCTATGTTACTCACATTCTCATAAAGCTTTATCATGATGTCTTTGCCAAAGCGTTAGCAAAGATTCACACCAGGTAGATGCAGTTGATTTCGATGTTCGCAAAATTTTATTGAATAAAAAGTTATTGTTTTTATTGGAAATTATGTTGTTACTCCAGCCTCGGCCTTTAACATAGCCTTCTTACGTTGTCTTGCGTTGTAAACACACTAGCATTGTAAATCAATCACTTAGTATTCTATTTGTTTCGGCTTTACTTTTCAAAGCAGCATTTTTCACAGCTGACGTAAGCAATTCCAAAATTTTTATTTTATTACCCAAAAATACCCATAACCCAAAAAATAAAAAATAAAACCATTCATGCTGGTGACCTGCAGCTAAACATGGCGTAAGTGATTCCCCATAGCGTCTGTGGTCGCATTCGATATCCATTCCATTCTGTCAACAGTCCCAGCATATTCTTTGTTCTGTTCTGGCGCATCGGGGTCCATCTGCTTTATCCCTATAGATATACGAATCGCTCAATTCAGGATGCGCTTGGCGATGACTATATACTGTGGGTCTCCAGCGATCGATTGCAAAACGAACAATTGATCATGATGCTGCTGCGTCAGTCGATCGAAAACTTTCTGATATTCATATTGATTATGGAGATTATGCGCTCGATTCACGAAGGACGCGAGCTGCCCTTTTTGTTGCAATGAGGGATCTGTGTATGCAAAAGCAGGATTTGCTAACACTATGATATATACACATATATATATATATATATTTTTTTTTTTTGTATATTTTTGACAACTCATTGCCTGTCTATCAAAAGTAAACACGCCTCGAGTGTGGGGCACACAGCATTTTTTGTCTTGGGATAGGTCCGAGGCCGATGTCCCATTGCCGCCGCTGTCGCCGTTGTCGTTGCAGTCGCGCGTGTAATCAGTAAATTTTATTTTTAAAAATGTTATTAAACAATATTTGCTTTAGCAAAAGTCAGACACGCAGTGCAATAAACTTTTCAGCACTTGTAGATCGTCCGACGCGACGCGACGCGACGACCGACGACTCGTCACTTTGGTGGGACTTTCATTGCTTGAACTGTGTGTGTGTGCGTGTGTGTGTGTGTGTATATAGGGTGGGCGGTGGGGTGTTTGGGGGTATTTCTTGGAACCGTGTGATAATTTTGTTATTGGAATTGCAAGGCTTTTTGATTGGGTATTACAAAGGAATACGTATATAGTACTTTTATAGATTATATATAATATACGAAGAGTTTATTTTGGTGAATATATTGATAAATTAAAGGGTTGGTATAAATATATATATATATGTATATATGTACATATTCTTCTATTTTCAGTTCATGGAAGGGCTGGCTCATGAAGCGAACAAAGGCGGGGAATTGGTTCAAAACGTGAACTATTTTCGGTTCATTGAGCTCTGCTCCACGCATATGTATGTACAATATGCATATATGTATCTGGAGTGAATCAGAGCTCCATGAACAGAAAATAGATCACGTTTTGAACCAACTCCCGCCCTTGTTCTCTTTATGAGCCTGTCTTTTGTTAAACCACTTTTACAAGTCTTAGTAAAAAAATTGAATTCCTAATTTTTATTTATTAAAAGTCTTTAAAGCCCCACATATATTTATAAATATTAAGAAGGTCAAAGTCATGCCAACCAATTTGTATTCTTGCTTTGGGAGAAAATTTCCTTAAATTTCTTTATATATCTTTTAAACCCTCGGCTCGGGTTTTGGTTTGTGCAATTGAGTTGGTTTAAAGTTCGCTTCAAAGTAAACCACAAATTAATATTTCGTTGTAAATTTTTTGAAAAAAATCGCCTTGGTTCGTTTTCGGTTTTGGTTTAAGCAATTGGGTTGGTTTAAGGTTCGGTCCATAGTGAACTGTAATTTATAATTTCGTTGTCATATATAAGCCCTCTTTTCTTTTATTCCATTTGAATGTAGCGCTTTGGATATTCGTTATAGCCCATCCTTTACTATCTATATGCCTATCTCTTTGCGGTGTTCCACCGAGTTCAACGTTTTTATGTTATTTGCCAAATGAAAAAGTAAAAACAAATGTTTATCTTATAACGCACTGTGCGTTTCGCTGTGTTTCAGTGCAGTTCTAGCGGCCAGACAGAATGCGGTGCGCAAATAGGCTTTGCTTTTGGGCTTTACTTTTTTATGAGCGCCATTTTTGAGCAAACTTTGTTATCGACAAAAGAAAAAAAAACAGAACAGAAACGAAAAATATTAAATAAAAGGCTGGCAGTGTCAGTTTTAGGCCGCAAAACTATATGCTACCAGCAATTGACGACAGACGGCAAGCCAGAGAGGGCGGGTTGATGTTGAAAAGAGGGGAAGGGGGGGGGGTGTTGGTATGGCCAGTTCAAGCGCCTGGCTCAAGGCGAAATATTGTTGAGTTTCCGTTTCTGGAGCTTATCAGAGCCACTGAAGTCCCCGAGAAGCCAAGTGCAGAAAGTGCTAATTGTGGCACTCTCCGTGTTTATCTCTGTGTATGTGTGTGTGTGTGTGTGTGCGTGCGCGAGTGTGTGTGTAGGTGCATGTGGTTTTCGTTACTCGAAAATTGTAATTCATGCGTGCCAGCAGACGCCAAAGTTTCAACAGAAATCAGTCAATCATAACCAAAAAAAAAAAAGACAAGAAAGAGTAGATCGTTTGGCATGCCGAAGTTGAAATACCCTTACAGACTATTTGACGAAAATTGTGTAGCTTGTAATTGCAGAGTTAGGGACAGATAATAAAATCTTCATTTAAAAACAAATTTACAGATTTATAGTTGTTGACTTTATGAAATGTTGAAAGTTACATATCTCGCGACACAATTGAAATGCCCTCTGTTAGGGCACACAAGGCGAAGAAGAAAGGCGCAGCAGCAGAAGACGCGGCCAGTTTGTTTGCTGCGCCCGTGTGCTGCAAGGCTGCAAGTGCGTGCTGAGCCGCATGCAACGCTGCACACAGCGCCCCACCCGCCGCACGCTGAGCTCCTCCCCCCATCGCCTGGGCAGTTCACAATCACAGGCTACTCCTTGGCCATGGCTTAGGCCGCGTATTTTCTGTTTGCTTTGTTTGCTCGCGCTAAGTGGGAGTTTTGAACACATTTGGTCTTAGGCCCTACCTGACCTACCTTGGCGCTCGGCCTATTTGCTTTTTGGCGTACATTGACCAGCAATGTAACCCCCCTCGCCCCACCCTCGCAGTGCTGCCGCCGCCTAATCATCGCTTTGAATTTGCGCTAATGACTGTGCCCACTTGCCGGGGCCCTGTAGCTGGGAGGAGCTTGCAAACTCGCATTGAGTGCAAGTAGAAACGTGTTCATAAAACGTTTTGGCATCCCAAATGTATGAAAGAGTCATTTCTTGTCCCCTGACGTGCCATAAAAATTATGCATGCATGTATTTGCCACATTCTACATACTCGCACAAGTGCTCCCATTCATATTGCTGCCCAAATAAAAACGTTGCCCTCGACTGGCCCAAAAAAAAAAGGGGAAAAGAGGAACGAATGCAGCGTCGCATTTTTACGGCTCCATTCATGTGACGACGGAAGTGTCAAGTGGCTGTTGGCAACTCGTCGTCGACAACCAACTCTCATCCTGCGCGTCCTTTTCGTCAACGTCGCCGTCGTCGTCGTCGTCGTTGCCGTTGCCGTCGCTTCCTCGCTGCTCTGCATCGAAAATGCCGTTATTGTTACCAGTTGTCTACAAAGCCCCCCGCCGCTTGCGTACACACACTCACACACACGCACACACACCTCGCCCTCCCACACACACAGACACACACACACACATACTTACACACTCTCCATAGCTTCTGTCTACGTGTGCCAAGTTGCATTCTGGTCTGCGCCTGGCGCTGGGTCACCTCTGCGTTGGCGTCTGCCGTTGAGTGGCAAACTTTTTACGTATGCTATCGTATCGTACGTCTAAGTATGTGTTTTTCATTTTTTTTGTTATGTGTTTTTCATTTTTTTTGCGTACCCTGCACCATTTTTGTATGCCCTTCATTTGGGTGGCTTTGTTCTTTTTGGTACAGTTGTGTCTGTGGGGTTAAGTGACTGTAAATGCACGAATAAGCAGCGCAAATTTGCTTACACGAAATATATATGTATTCACTCTGGGATGTAAAGGTGATTTATTTTCTATCCTGACTGACTGACTGATTGAACGGTGATCAACGTTATGCAATGGGACATTTGTTTACATAAAATATATATATTCACTGTTGCTGCGAAAGTGATTGAGTGTGATTGACCCTGATTAACTGCCTGACTGACCGACTGCATGACTGATGGAACGTTGATCCGTTGATCTTTACGTTAAAGCAGTGAAAATATACCCTATTGGTGCCAAAAGGGATTTATTTTTTATCCAGACTGACTGCCTGATTGAACGGAGATCTACGTAAAGAAGGCGTTAATACACAATATATATAGTAGCTGTTGCTATTATGATGATTACTTTTTTTTCCTCACTGACAGCCTGATTGACTCATCGTATGGCTCAAATCGTATGAGTTGGGAAACTTAATTTGTTTTTGGTTGATATTATTTTTTAAATTTATAATTGTTCTAAGTTTATTTTTTACTGGATTCCTAGCGCTAAAACCCAGCTTATGGGATGCAAGTGTATGCTAAAACAGGGCTATTGGTGGAAAACTGTTGCACCAAACTTATTTCTTTGCCAGCCGATGAGCTTCAAACTCATTTTCAAAGATTTTTACAAAATATTATTTTAGATTTGTTTCACAGTCTTAGGGTTATCCATACTCCTGGGTGGAAACTGAGGTGATATGAGCGAAAGTTTAAGTTATGTCCACTTGAAATCAACCTTATTTTAGAAGATCTCTACTTTACAAATGATTGCAAACGTGTTTCAAATTTCTGTTCCTGTGTATTACAAATTTCTGTTTATCATCAAATTTACCTGATTGCAATCGGTGGCTTAAGGCGGAATCGAATGACTGACCGTAAGAGCTGGGAAACTGAAATTGTTAATGTAGTTACCTTATATGATGCAGTTGCACGCTTAAAAGGGGTTTCGGGAAATTCGGAAAACGGTTATAAGAAGCATTATTGTTTTACTTCCGATCGGCCTCAAACTAATGTTCAAAGATCTTTGTGTAAATTTATTTGATAGGAGTTTTTACAGTTTTCGGAAACTCCATCCATCTTGGCTAAAAAATGCGGGTCAATGGTTCAATTAACAACCACCACGGCGCTGAAATGGGTGGCAAAAGTTGATTCCCACTTTTGTTTCTTATTCGATTGACTTCAAAGCCATTTTGTACAATTTGAAGCAATAAGCTTGGCCCGGGTGAGGCTGCCAAATGGTAATTTGTATCAAAATAACTTTCATTTTACTAGAATAAAAGGTAACATTCAAGAAGAAAGCAATGGCCAATAAACGAGTGATGCTTATGATAACTGATAAAATTGAATGCAACTAAAATAAACATACTAAAATTTAACTAAATTAAGTTATTACAGCTTTTATCCGAAGTTATTTTAATCGCTTCTGACTATCTTGGATCAAATGCAAGCTCCATTGCAATGCAAATCGCTTGAAACTCCATTCATCCTATTCAATTGCAGGCTCTCTGCTTAAAATTCCATGACAACTGTGCAATTTGTGTTGACAACTTGATTGTCCTGGCCCGGGCAGCCCCACAAAGCGACACCTAATTGAAGTTAGTCACTTATAAAACCAACAACAACAAGAGCAGCAACAATGATGGAGCCAAGATTACATGATTACGCGGCGACAGCGGCTGAACCATGGCACACGATGGCCGTCGTCCCACGCGCTGCATGCAACCGACAACAGCTTTCGCTTTCAGGCCAGTGAAACTCGGCTTGCCACATCCTCCTACAGCCACGAGCAACATCATCAGCAGCAGCAGCAGCAGCCACTTAACGGCAACTGCTGCACATTTGCATTGCGTCTGTCTAATGAAATTCTGTTGCC